TTTTTTCGATATTTCCTTACTCTTTTTTCTTTCTTGCTTATATTTTTTATCATATTTTCTTTTTATCTCTGTTTTATTTTTTCTTTTATATTTGTGTTTTTGTTAATTTGGCTCTTTTGATAAAATATGCAGCTGCTAGAGCTAAGGATTGAAGGGTTCATATCCTCAATAAGTTGAGAATCTAACGTGAAGCTAATTGCTGCTAGGTGAGTCATTCTTTGAGTTTAACTTGAATTGATCTTTACTTATATGAAATATAGTATAGAAATTGTATCTTCCTGTTGATATAAGTTCTGGTACTTCTCAATAAAGAGTAATAGGCAGGACCGCTAAATTAAAAAATTAAAAAATTAAAATGAATTCAAATCAGATTTGCTTTGAGTTTATAAATCAAAATGAATCTAATTTGAGTTCATTTAAAAAAAAATTTATAACTTAAAAATAAGCTATCTCTTTATTAAATGTCAACTTCTTAAAAAATCATAACCTCTAAAAATAAGCTACTTTCAATTTTTTTACTCAAAATTGCTCAAAAAAAAGTACCTTATTTTTAGGAATATATAGTAAGAAATATAACAAAAATCAGGTGATTTTTTAGGGAGGAGGGGTAAAAAAAAGTTAAAATTATATATAAGAATCTGATTTTTTTTTATATTAAGAGGGGAGGAGAAGTAAGCTTCTGATAAAAAAAAATCAGGTAATAAATAACACTGCTCTAATATAGTGTTGTTAGATTTTTAGTTAACAAGCTATAATATTTAACTAGATGTTCAAGTAGTTAAGAAATGTAGTTTATATAATTTTATAATAGAAAATAGTTTATAATAATATTAACTTATTGCCAATATGATAGGATTGAGAGCATAGGGCATAAGGCATACCTTTTGGGCATACCTCTGAGCATATCTGGGTGTATGCTTTTAGGCCAAAAGGCATACCTCTATCACATGATATACAATCTTAAATCATGTGATAATATAATATACTGATTGGCTATTGACAAAAATGTTGAGCTAAATAAACAAACAAGAATACACAAACTTTAGGTTTTATTAATATATAAATTTGAAATACCGATTAATAATCAGTTTTTAATTTATACTTTTGTTATGATTTATTTGACATATTTATTACTCTATTTTACATTATTATTGTATTATATAAGGTAGCTATACGACGCTATCATACGAAACCAGAAACATATATTTGATAATTCATTGAATAGATGTTTTAATAATAAACAAATTTTTTATTATGATGAGTGATCAAGAATCAAAATTTATATTCATACCGATTTACTGTATTATGTGTTTGATTTTGTTGTTTTTAAAGATGATTATATATATTCTATTTAGGGCTTTATTTTATAATAATTGATATTAGTTAATTGATATTTTTTTTTATTTTGTTGGTTTTTTGTTTAATAAATTAAATTAGTTTGATTTTTAATAGTCATGTAATTAAAATTGAATGAGGTATTTTGAGCATTTTTTTTTTATCTTGCAGCTGAGCTTAAAATAAAGATCTTAAGTAATTAATTTTGAATAGTATAAGTAATCAACTTTAAATTGTATAGCATAAGTTTATTTATTTAAAAAAAATATTTTAGCAGATTTGTTATCCTAGAGTTTAGATATGTATTAAATATAAAGTTTGTTAATTGATATTGTTTTGATCATAGTATTCATCTGGCTATCTAGCTTTGTTGTTTTTTTTTCACATTCTTCTAGACATTTGATTTTTGCATTAAATGCAGATAGTAGATTTATATTTAATAAAGATTCATCAAAGAGGTATAAAAATAATAAATTATTTTTCTAAAAAGCATAACATATATGCTATTATAAGTATTAGTATTTGATAGGTCGATCACTGCTTTATTCAAAGTTTAACCTTGGCATTTATAGTCAGCAAAAGCATAAGCTAGAATTAAAAGAAGTTGAAATCATTGAAATCGATATTGTTTTTTAGGCATATACATATATATATTTAACAATCAATCTAAAAAACTAATAAATAACCATAACTTTTTTTAAAATAAATTTCACAAAGTAGTGTGATGTTCATAAAATCAATCGGATTTGAATACACTCGAATAATCATAAAATACCTTTAAATTAATTTTTGAAAATAGCAAGATAAGATCTATTTTTCAAATCTAGAAGCTATTGTATATACAGCCACAATAAATTAACTAGAAAAACTACTATATATAAGAATTTATCTTTATCTCACGATAAACCTAATAGATTAATATAATGTTTATAATATGAATTCCTAAGAATACAGTATTCAATATTGTATTCTTTTACCTTTGTATTAATATCAAAAATAATATACTATTCCAAATATATAGTTATTATGATTATTTAACTAAATTAAATCATTATTATAGATAAAAAACCATAGTTAAAAATATTAAACCGATTTGATCTAGATCATAAGATCAAGACTAAATATTCAATCTAACCAGAATTTCAATAATTATATAATGTGATCATCAAGGCATAGCTTGATTGGCTTGTCAATAAAGTGATGAAGTTAATATTATTGTAAGATCAGAAATGATATCATTGTATATGGATTTGTAAGTGTAATATGTATGATGTTCATATTAAATTATATGAAAGTTAGTATATACAGTGTAGGACAAAAAAAACCAGAATCAAAAATTGTATGATTACAGGAGAATGATCACATAAAATTATATAAAATTTATATAATTGGTAGACAAATATTAGATGATTTATTAATTAAAAAATTAAAATGATATTCGTTCACCATTATTTTCAATTACTAATTCACATCGTTGCCTTATTGATTCTACTAAACTAACTAAAACTGAATTTGAAATTTTATTACATTCCTCTTTTATATACCGCTCTAATTCTTGCAAATTATATGGCATACATTTTTCCACATTATTTTTTACAATGCACCACAAATTTTCGATAGGGTTTAAATCAGAACTGTTCGATGGCCAGTTCATAAGTTCAGAAACATTTTCTAAAAGAAATGCTTTAGCAAATTTGCTTGTATGTTTTGGGTCATTATCTTGTTGCCAACGCCAATATTTATCAAACATTTTTTTTACTTTAGGAAGGTGTTTGCATACAATTTCAATATAAAATTTCTTGTCTATAATTTGTGTAAAGCAAAATAAGCTTGATTTTCCCTTTACTGAAAACCACTCCATACTTTAATTTTAGTACGGTCTTTAGAAATTAGACGAATTGGCTATTGACCTTTCTTATGTCAACGCTTGAGCATATTTTGAAAGAGTTAAAAGGCTGATTTATCTGTAAAAAAAGTTCTGTTTCAATTATCATTAAGATGAGCCTGGGCCCATTCTACTCTCTTTTTTTTTTGGTTATTGGTCAGCATGGAGGTCTTTTGTGGAACATTTTTCACATATCCTATTATAGCCAAATGCCTTCCAATTGTTTTATATAAAACATCATTACCTATACTTGATAGGTATGCTGCTAAAGTTCTTGTTGAAATAGACAAATCCTTTTTAATTTGCTTCTCAATTGCCCGGAAGGCAACATTACTAATTTTTTTGGGCTGACCATTCACTTTAGCATGGTCAACATTTCTACGCACTTTTAACCTTTTTATATTGTCGTAAATAGTAGACCAGGGGATACCGGTTTGAACATAAAGCTCTTTTGTACTATGTTACCTTTGTTTCACAGGTATACTAAAGTTTCTCACTGGCTTCTTTTTTTAGATACCGTCATATAGCTATTATTTGGGTATACAACATTACAATGTACTTGCGAATTACAAATCACTAAAAGTAAGTATTCAACATTGCTTCTGATTTGCATTTTGCTAATCTTAGATCTGATTTAAATCAAACAAGTTTCACATGATTTTAAATCACGTACAATTTTTCCGGTTTTTTTTGTCCCATACTGTATGAAGAAAACTTTGCGTTAATGAGATTTATCTTTGATTTCGCTATTATCCGTATTATGATATTAGGCTGGCTTCATTGTTCTACCTATCATATCTGAAAAATAGAAAAGGTGCTATCTGAATTAAAGAACATTCTGTATAAATTAGATCTGCTTAGTATGATAGTGTCAGTGCAATAAACATCTAATCAATAGTTTAAGTATCTTATGCCAATAAGCATTGGCAGATGTAAGTTTTTATGGTTGCATAGCAGTACAAGCGTATTAATTAATTGATATAGAATCTGTTTAGTATGATTGTGCAATGACGCCCAATCAATGTTTTACCTTTTAATCTACTTAATATGATGGTTAACTTATGCCAAAACAAGGTTATCATCATTATAGGTCAAGGCTGTTTAGTCAAACAGTTAATTCGGTTAGATGATTAACATTTAAAAAAATTTTAGGTGGTTCAAATCTCTAGTACAAAGGTCTAATAGTAGCTCAATGACCTTATAGTAGATTCGGCTTTGAACTTGTTTTGTGGTATCATAGGGGAATAGGTTTCTTTAGACAATAAATAGCTTTTAGCTAGCCCAAAACTTGTCTAGGTTTGTTCATCTTGCCCCATCACAACCTATCAGAGGTCCTTGAATTTAGTTGGTATAAGTACATGTTAAGATAAGGACCTTAATTGCAGCTCAATGATTTTATGAATTAGAATTTGTTTAGTAAGATCATAGCTTAGTGACTAAAAACAATTCAATGACTACTGATCAATAGCTTAAGCAAATGATACCAATGTGAATTGGTATATATAAGGCTCTACGGCTATATAGTAATACAAGAACCTTATTTAATACATGATATAAAGTTACTTAGTGTAAGTATTTTATGCTGATAGAGCATTAGTAGATATATGGCTCTATGGCTGCATAGCAATGCAAGGACTTTAATTGCAGTTTAATGATTTTATGAACTAGAGTTTTTTTTAGTATGATCATGGTTTAGTGGCTAAAAGTAGTAGCTCAATGGTTACCAAAATTAATAGCTTAAGCATATGATGCAAATAGATATTCAAAGACCTTAATGAATATATATATAAAGCTGCTTAGTAGATTGTACAATGATTACTGATCAATATTTTAATTTAGAAGAATGGGTTTTTTTCAGACAAAATAGTATGATTTTAGCTAGTTAAATATTTGTTTGGGTTTTTTTATCTCGCCTTACCCAACCCATCAGATTATTTAGTATATATGGTCCGATAGGATGATAGTTACAAGTAGACAAACAGAAGCAAGCATAATGTAATGATCCTCTTCGAAGTACTATGTAGTGGTGATCCCAAATCTCATATGTTTTTTCTTCGTAATAAATATCTGATCAAGCAATAATAAAAAAAAGATACACATATAATGATCATGCTGTCTAATAGAATTTGAGATTTCAAATATAGCAACTTGTTTGTAAACCATATACTTCATTTTACTACGTTTCTGGTACATGTATTAAAAACATATACCTGATCATTTATTAATTTATTAGAAGAGAAAAATCGATTTATTGATAATATTCTTGTAGAAATTAATAAATTTTTAAATTAAATTATTTTATAAT